TATAATAGCAGCTGCATTCTGGCGTGATAAGCTGTATGTTTTATATTCAATTAACGTATGATTTGATTAGTCAACTAATCAAAAAATAACAATCGGTGATTACTGGACTATAAAAATAATCGTTTGTGGCAGCCCTAGATGCAACCCATGAATTGAGACACAGCCACTGTGTGCCAGAGTTTCAAACTAAAATCTTCTTGAACAAACACGATCATTGTTGTTTTGGTCAAATCTTGTACAACACTGTAAGAAGTGTGCTAAGATACTCCCACATCAAAATTACTCCAATAAAAACTGAACAAGTTAAAGCTGTTTTTATGTTGACTAAGACTGATTAGGTGTGGCTGTCATCTTGGACTGAACTGACTCCAAATGGTAAACATCCAATAAACACTTCCTGAAAGTTTCACTCTTGTATGTCCAGTGGTTCGTGAGATATTTTGCTAACAGAAGAGTAGACTCTAAAAAGTAATGGTGAAGTATTAAAAACAAATCTAGCAATGATCAGTTGGAGCTTTACGTATGTGTTCGGAAAAACTCTCAACTAATGCTACATTAAATTTTAGCTGAATATCTGTACAAATGTTTGTGTTTGCTAAGACTGCGCTGTCTGTCGCGGCCGTCTTGAATGAGTCATCTTTAGCAAATGCATAAACGTCTCTAAATCTATTTTTCCAGACACAAACTTTAAAATTAGCGTGTAGGTAACAGAGATATTCTCAATACATTTTATTTCATGAGATTCCACAACATCGTATTTACAAAGTTTGACCGAAGTGGATATAGCTCAGGTTGGAGACGTTACAGTTTGCTGAGCAAAGCTGGAGCCACTAAATACAAGAGGGAAGGACGTCACAGAGACAGACAGGTAAGTATTTACCATTGGCATACTTTCTGGTGCTATGGTGTCTCCCTCCTTTGAAAACTACAAAAAAAGAAGGTAATGAAGACAAACAAAAATTGATTAAATTATAATAGAAGATATATTTCATCATACATATTTTCTTTGTTTCAAAATAAAAGCTCATCACCAGTAATGCAGATTAAGCAGAGCTGGTTCTGTCAACTCACCGGTGTCAGATCATCACAGCAGGCGGCACAGGTACAGGAAGCAGCGTGTGGGTTCAGGATACGCTCCTAACAACACACACACACACACACTTGTATTCACTACATAGTGAGAACCAACTAAAAAGACCAGCAGAGTGAGGACCAATAGTTCTGAACCACTTAGAAAGAAAAAAATGATCAATTTTGGACACTAGGTGTCACCAGCCTACTAAACTGCCTCAGACACACACACACACACACACACACACACACACACACACACACACACACACACACACACACACACACACACACACACACACACATAGCTGTGTCCAGCTTTCTATATAGGAACATTTCATTGACTTCCATTAATTTCTATAGCCTAACCCTGACCCCTGATCCTGATCTTAAACCTAACCCCATCCCACCAATGGCATTTCCCCAAATGGGGACCAGGCTTAACTCCCAATAAGTACCAGTTAGTTCCCATATTTAATAAAATAATAAATAAAAAAATTTTAATTGTGAACTTGATAATCAAATTGAAATGGGGTTTGAGTGAACCATTACATCCCTGGTGCAGCTACATTTAAAACCAACTTATTGTTCAGAATCAGACAAAAAAACAACCTGTTATCATTTTCTGAGTGCTGAGCGCTGGAAGACTGATGAAACGTCAAACTGAAACTGAATGTTCAAAATTAAAACGGGTTAAAACGAGCAAAGCAGTAACTAAAAGCTAAAATTATCAAAAAGACTGCGAAAATAGCTAAATAGTAGCTTAAAACTTAACGTGGCATAAAAAATAAATGCAGAACAGATGCTCTTAAAAAGAACAATGTTTTGAAAGAACTAGAATATTTTAATTTAAATTTAAGTGGAATTCTATTTTACGTGAAGTTTAATGTTTCAAAAAATATAGGAGTTACAAAAGACAAAAGTCACAAACCAGTACTCACAACTGAGCTCAATGTTTTGATA